CATCAAATACAAATTGAGAGTCAGTTTCCTGAGCGATGGCTTGACGAAGCTTGGGCGCCACGTTATCAAACACGGCTGTGATAATTTCGCTTGCGGTAATTGTTGCAGGGACATTCTTGCCCTCGTGAATCGTCTGGAAGCACAAATTCGTGACAAAAAATGATACACGTCACCGTAACATACCCCAAAGACTTGCCCAGTAGGTCGACCACGAGTCTCATAGCGGACACCAATGTTCAGGGTGATCCACTGCGGCGACATCCCAGTATACGCTGATTTGGTAAAAGCCCCGCGTGCCGCGGCATACTGAGAGTGAGCAGCAGAATAGCCTTGGCTTGAATATTGCCCCGGATTAATTGGTGCACTGGACGATCCGGAACTTGATATCGGTTGGTTTGGAAGCGAAACACGAGGACCTTAAGAATTCAGATATTAAATTTGAGCAGATCATGATGTACGTGCCTGTGGATCGCTGTGGGATCTCAAGGGGCGGTCCCATTAGACCCGATGGAATGGCCGCAATCCGGCCTCCACGAGATGCGTCTGCGAATGCTCAGTCAGAAGCAGGGTATAGAACAAAAATAACATACCTCCAACGCGTCCTTGGATGTTCCTCTGCCGGATAGATTCTTTCTCGCCTTCCAGATCGCCCCGGAACGTTGCTGCACAGATTGTGATTGATAAATTGCATCAGTTTTAGCATCTAAACGTACCTCGGACCGAGCTCGAGGCTTTCCTTGCGTAATGCGCATGGCAAGCTGCACACACAAGCCTGCCACCGGAGACAGCAGAAAGGTTCTCCACCCGGAAGCGAGGCTGACCGGGCAAGATCAGCAAGCCCTTTGTGAGATCAGAACGGTCGCGAGTGTAGCATCGGGCTCCAGTCTGGCACACAACGGGCTCCTGATCAGAACTATCATCGGTGAAGTTGGCAAAGAGGGTTGATCCAGACATGATCAGAGCACCAGTAGGCGACGATTAAGTCCCATTTTGTGAGACGCTTTTAAGGCCTTTGAGCGTCAGCAATTAGTAGTGGGTCGACAATCTCGGCTGTGTTGCCAGAGTGCTCCCCCAGGCTCGGTAAGACTGCCTCGGTCTCAGTAAATTTCACGGTGTGTCATGGATCCTCAGTTCTTAATCAACGTGTTTGGTGGAATGGATGTAGCGCCTTAAGCATGTGCCCGGCCGCACTAGGGCTCCGCCAATTACTGGGCTGTTAAACCCTTGAATTTTCCGCGGTGGTATGCAACGAGCACAGCAAGCGCTCAACATGTGCGATTTCAGTGTTGATGCTGATGTTGAATTTATTACTGCCGCCCTGCGTGTTCTCAAGCGAGGCCCTCGTTGAGAAACAACGACTCACCAAAGTACATGCCTGGGAAGTTGCACTACCGGACAAGGAGAATAATTATATCAATTGGGATCCGATCCGAAATGATATCTAGGTTTGTAAAAAGTCCTTCGGTTATCAACATTAACATTATCAACATGAGTTGAAAATAACTCCGATCAGCAACGTTTTTGTTTACCCTGACTTTCTAAGTACATGCATATGCCTTCCACTCCGTACTACCGCCGTACCCAGCTCGTTGATCGTGTTCTCAGATCGCCACTATAAAGTGAGTCCTGGCTTATTCGCACTCCAACAGAAGCTCCTCCTCGGTTCTTTTGTGCCACCAGCGGTCTCATAACTCTCTGAATGCCCAATCAGTACAAGCCCGTTCGTACGTGTTACACTTCCAACTGTTTCACCTTGCCCTTGCTCTGGAACGTTCACAGCTAATGCTGAAGACCTCCGTCCTTTCATCGAGAAGTACTGGAAGCAGAACAAGAAGGATGTCGAGATCGTCGAGCTGCTCAAGAAGTATCACATCGATCTCAACAAATACGGCCTCGAGTGCGTGTATATTTGTGTCTTCATTGTGCAGGCTACTAACCGCTCTCAATTAGAGTTCAAACATTTAGAAAAATTCGCGAGAAGCTTGGTTTCATACGCACGCGGCGTCAAGGCCACACCGTGGACACAATTGGGGTATTTATTGTCAAACTCCGTCCGATCTATCCCAAGGCTGGCGGACGGGAGATGGTTAGCTTGCTATTACACGAGGAGAATGTGCGCGTGTCCCGGTGTGTGATCCCTCCAATTGTGTTCTCATACGCTCACATAGGTATGTTTCTAGCGAGACTGTAATGCGCTATTTTCACACTCATGAGCCCGATCTTGTTCGTGAGCGCCGACGTGGACACTTCAAGCGCAAGCAGTTCTGGGCAGCGGGTGCCAACGATATATGGGCTGTAGATCAGCACGACAAATGGAAGTATAAATTCGGTTTAGCGCTACACACTGGGATTGACCCATTTCTCGGCATGATTCATTGGTTGAAGATTTGGTGGAACAACAGCAATCCCCGCCTTATATTCAGCTATTATCTGGAAACCGTGGAACGGCTTGGGGGTATGTGCAGTATTGATCTCTTCGGACTTATATTCACGACGTTTTTATCGCAGTCATCCCACTTGTGACCCAGAGCGATCCTGGGTCAGAGAACGTGGGGATTGCGAATGGACACACACAGCTGCGTCACTATCAGGACCCCTCACTTATCGGCACCTCTCAGCACCGTTGGATGCGAAAGAAGAAGAACATCATGCCGGAAATCACATGGAGTCAGATGCGGCGTCGATTCACTCCTGGCTTTGAAGACATCCTCGACGTTGGTGTAAACGAGGGCTGGTACAATCCGGGAGTTCTACTCGAAGCGTGTGTATCTTCCTTACTTTCAAAGCGATCTTCGACTTCTGAATCACAGCGCAGCTTAGTCTTCCGTTGGGTATTCATCCCGTGGCTTCAGGGCGAGCTCGAGCTGTATCGGCATCGCGTGAACAATACCGCAAAGCGCTGTGATCGTAACAAGATCCTTCCTCACGGTGTTCCGACTAGCATGTTTGAGTTCCCAGAGGATTACGCCATCCTCGATTTCAAGGTACGAGTCCAATTTCATCAAGTACAAGCCACTAACTACTAGTCCCTTACAGATCAAGGTCGATCCTATCGGTATTGAAAAAGTCCGACAGATGTACGCACCACCTGATCATGACGTCTTTCTCCTTGTTCCCCCTGACTTCGAGATCGCGATCTTGGATATCTATGCAAAGCTTAATAGCCCTATTGTGGACCGGGACTCATGTTGGGATGTATATCTCCAGCTCCTGAATTGCCTCAAGGAGTTGGATCAGCTCAACGATATCGATCAGAGTGCCGATGCAAGGTGGGGGCATGTGCTGACCCAGCCGGTCGATGAAAACATTCCCCTTCTCCCAAACTTGCAGGAACTGCGGGGCGGTGAGGGGGTCGTCGGAGAGGGTGCTTATTATATGGGTGGAGTCAACAATGGGGATGGTCTCGGTATGTTCCATTACTTGGGAACCTTACTGTTCACTGACTCGTCTCCTTTTGGAGGTCCTGAACATCACGCATGTCTGAACGCAATGATCAACGATATCGAGCCCGAAGTGGATCCCATGCCCAACTCCCAGTTACCGGATGACGCTCACGCATTGTACGCATGGTTCTCGGACGAAGAAGACTCTCAGGATTTCAATGATCATTGGTAGTACATACATGCTGACGAGCAGTGATGCGCCCTAGCCCTGAAATCAATCGATCACGTGCACGAAAAGATCCAATGGATTTGTCAGCGAGCTCGTCAAGGTTGTTGCACGTGATCATTTGATCAATCTATCACGTGCACTGAAAGATCTCAATGGATTTGTCAGCGAGCTCATCAAGGTTGTTGCACGTGATCATTCTGATCATCACTAACGAGCGTTCGGGGTCCAGACAGAGCGCATCATGACATAGAGCGCATCATGACATTGATGCCATGTCGGCAAACTTTCGCGTATCAGTGATATGTCCTCCGCTTATCAGCATATAATTCCCGGCCTCCATAGTCGTGTGTCAGCATGTTCAGTTTGCGGTGAAACCAACGTGGGAGCTAGACCGGGCGGGCAGTGCAGGACTTGTAATGATCCGGGAGAGAAGCACCAAATCCGGTCCAAGTTTCGTAGCGGGGACAGTGCGAGAGAGAACCTCTGTTGTCTCAGATAGCAAGATGACGGCCATGGACAGTCAAAGAGGCACCTGATTGTTCACTCCGCCGGCAGAGTCCGTCTGCGGCCCTGCGGACCGATGACAGCCCAGCCTCTGTTTCCGCGTCTTTTCCCACCGACACAAATGTACAACTCTCTGTGCTTCATTTCCTGTGTGTCGAGTATGAGCTTGACGCGCACAATCAGTTGTGGCGCAACTTCGCCTTCTATGCATTGCCCGCGCAGCCAACTCGGCAGGGCAACGGCACTGCTGGCACCGCTTCCTGCTTGTGCTGCACCTGGCCGACGTCCGGTGGGCGGTGCCACACGTCTAGAAACCAGATTACACATGCTGACTGACCGGTGGCACTTCGTGCGGCTGTCTCGAATGGACGGCGGAGGAGTGAGTGTGGCTCGTTGACATACCCACCGCCTCTTGTTCGGGTGTTCGTTCGGTTCTGTGCTCTCGTCGACCGCAACCTGCGCAGTTCCCTCTGATGTTCTGTCATCCGCTTACGAACCGGCTCGCTTCTCGAAACGGACGCCGGGTCCTGTCAACGAATCCGGGCCGGTGTCAAGACGACCTGTGCCACGTGGTCGCCGAGCATATGAGCTGACCTAGTTGGATCAGGTCTGACATTTGTAAATCTCACTCGGATTTGTGGCTGACAGATCAGGAGTGGTCATGCCTGTTTCTCGGGTCTTCAGTGCAATCTGTTCCTTCCTGCGCGCGGCCATCGGATTCTCTCCAGGGCTCCAGCTGGCTCCAGGAATGAAACACGTTTATGATCCTTGATCGACCTCTGCGATCGATGCACCTCATAGCCGAAGTTACTGTCGGACAAGCCCGGGGCGTGGCACCCGTCACATCCGCTTTTGCAGCCTTGATCGCACCGGCCTCTGGCTCCTTGATCCACATCCGCAGAGCATTCATTCATGAAATCTGGTCTGACTATACGCGGCACTCTTCTATCTATTCCCAGCAGTATCCGACCATCGCTGTGCTCTACGCACGAACCAACATGAAGAATCCTGACCAGTGGCGTGCTCAAACCCAGATCCACCGCACGTTCTCTATCCGGCCCACCCCCAGCGCCGCGAGCTTCCTGAATCCAGCCTCCGTGAAATCTAGATCGGCCGCACCCGCACAGCCTGCGCAACGGTCCTCCACGGTCACGGTGACTGATTTCCCGCGATCTGGGGGTTGTAGGCAGGCATGAGTGTTCCCAACTAGCCTAATGAAATTCGGACGGGAGAGGAGACGCACAGGTGGCTTTGAGGCGTTTACCGCAAATGGGGTTTCTGGCGAAGGGTCAGTAAAGTCAATAGAGCTGCCCACCGCTTGGAACCACTGACAGATTGGGATTCGTGACCTTCGAAGCGCCGCTTCAACAATTTATCCGTTCAGTTGGCAAGTAGGAGCTACATGAACTCAACGGCACGTACGGGTAGGAATCGAACATGCCGTGTCCTACTGCCACAATCAGGTCCCCTCTCCGGTTAACTCGCCCGCAAGCACCCAGTCCAGGCACGTAGAACGTCCCTGCGATCGCAGCGAATCAGTGGTTGCGTGAATCTGTACAGAAACCATTCACCGTCCCCGCTATACGTCGCTAGCGGAGATGCATCGACACTCGCATCCACCGGTGCCGAATACGCCCTGCCCACCACGAGGAAGAGCAGCACGGCGATCCTCGAGAGCATTCTATCAGGGTCGGTGGAGCAGCAGCAGCAGCAGCAGGACACAACTGTTCTGATCGGCCTCTTCTCAACCCAGGGCTGCTTTTCAAGAATCCCACTAGCCGCATGCGCGCCGTTCTAGGCTCTCCCGTGTCCTTTCGCGGGCGGCGGCGGCAGTTTTGCATTTGAATTCGAATCGAACCCTAAGTGTTGGATAGCGCTGCTGCGATCAAACGGAGCGAGGCTGCGGCTGGTGCTGCTGCTGCCGAAGATGGCGGGAATTCAAGCAAGCAAGCGATGGCTTGAGCGCGGTGCGGACTTCGTCTAGTGTATTTTTTTCGGCGCCGCCCTACGATCATTTCGGATTCCGGGGTCATGAGTCAAGAGCATCCGAGATAGCCCGAAGATGAGGAGCTACAAGTATGCGATATGTCAGTCTTGTATCCATGTACATGGGTGTCCAGACCTTCTGTGCGAAAGATCGCCGCAGCCCTATCTAGGCGCTGATAAACCGCAACAGGATTCAATTCAATGTGTGTTACATACAACAAGTGATTCAAGGAGAGTATGATGTGCGAAATGCGACGTACGAGAGTGCGACCGCACGTAGAGTAACCTGTGTGTACAGTGAGGTACAACAAACAATAGCAGAGCAGAGCGAGCTCGCTCTTACAGCTGAGCGTCCTCTTATTAAGTTATTTTATAATGCAAGCTAACGGGGACGAAGAGGAGGGGGGAATGCGCCCAAGAGATGTGGAGAGTTGAGTTGATTTACACGCGAACGTGATTTCGCGATATGCCGCTGAAAACACAAGTCAGGCGCATGATCGACCAGCTGAGCTCGCCCCACTCACAAACTCACACTGAGTCCAGCCCTTCACACGCAGTATACCACGTTTCATCCGAAACACCCGACATGACGCTCCCCGCCGACGAAGCCAAGCGTGGGGGGGTCTTGAACGGAAACGGCGATGACGCGCGGTGGCGCCGCGGTGGCGTGACCGGGGGCGTGGGGAAGGCGTCCAGGGCAGAGAGTAGCGATCGCGCGTCTCCATCTGCGTCATCTTGCTCGTCTCCGGAAACGTCACCCTCTTTCTCGGGCAGCAGCGGCTCCGAGAGATCGTCGTCATCACCGCCGTCGTCGACAACCCCGTTGTCATGAAACCCGTAAACCGTCCCGGCGTAGCCAGCGGAATACGGGTGCGGCGGGACCGCGCAGATAGGCGCGCATACATCCATGCACCGAGCACGGGGCGGTTCTGGGATCGGCCCGGCGGGCACGGGTCTGATCGGAGGAAGGTCCCGTGCACACTTGGGCGGTGGAGGCGGGGGCAAGGGCGAGGGTGCGGTGAACGACGCGGGGAGGGTGAATAGGGAGAGGGCTGAGATCGAGGGGACGCCCCGGAGGCTTCGTGCACGCTGGCGAGGAGAGGAGGTCGACGACCATCGCTTCACGGGTGGTTTCGGTAGCATGTATGCGGAGGATGAGAATGAGAAGGTCGAGGTGTCGGATGCGCACGCGGACGCGGATTCTGACGATGAGAAGGACAGTGCTGAGGATGAGGATGAGGTGGAAGATGATGAGGTGAAGGTGGAGGTGTCGCAGGACGACAGGGAGGCCCCAGGATGGACTCGCTCCGTTGCCACCACAAGCGGCACGTACGGCACGAAGCCCTCACTATCCGATTCCGGCTCCGGTGCTTTGAGAATCAGAGAGGCAGTGGACGCGGAAAAGAAGCCGAGCCGAAACGATGGGCGGGCAGCGAGCGTGAAGCGATGTTTCAGGCGCGTCAAGAGGGTGCGTGATTTACTGATGGGTGTCGCAGTGTGGGAGGAGGAGGAGGATGCGGATGCGGAGTAGCTGGAGGTGGAGAGAGTTGCGAGAAGCCCGACCGCAGAAGAAGAAGAAGAAGGAGGAGGGGACCCAAGCACGAGCGAAGGTCCCGGCGCGTCGAGGGCGAGTGCGCGTTCGACAAGGGACGCGAATTCTGGCAGCGACATTGGCTGCGAAGACGGCGGTGGAGAGAGAGAGGTGGGCGGACGCATCGCAGAGGCTCGGGGATAAAGGAGTGAGTGAGTGAAGGAGGGAAAGAAGGAAACGAATGTACGACTTGGATTCTACGAATCCGTCACATTCGGGCCCGCGTACGGGCTGCTTTATACTCAGACGTACACACATGCTCCATGCGGGTCGCATTGCGGGTGACAATTACTCACGTCCACGTCGCGCTCGGTCCAACCGCTAGGAAAGGGCTTATCGTTCCCTCATTCGGATGAAGTGGGCGAGGAGAAAGAGCGTGGGAAACCCATCAGCTGTCACCTGTCGCGCCTGTTCCTCGCCTGAGTCGCGTCTAGTTTCACCGGTGGGTGCATTCCACACGTCCGGTGGAGGGTCTGGATCCTCGACGCGTGCGGTGTGCCTTGCACTATGTGTCTGTGTGGGTGTGAATCTAGCTGCCTATATCAGTCTCATTATGACGCCACCGCAGTTTCATCCTCCAGCGGTCATTCCTCTGCAGCGGTCTCTGTGCGCGGCGACCGGGAACCTTAGAGTTGTGTGGCATTCGGCAACCTATCCGTCGACGCGAACACTTGGCTTTCAGACGCTTCGAAGAGCCATGCACTCTGTGCTTACTTATAACCTTCCTCACCTTCCCTGCTCCACCCTTCGAGGCCGCTTTTCCTCCGGTCCGATAGTCCCCGACCCCGAGGAAACGAAACGAAACGCAACGAACCCGTCCGCTCGTGTCCTGCGGATGCGGAATCCACGAAAAAACTCCATGTCACTCACTGTTCCCGGCCGATGCTGCTGCTGCTGCTCGTCACTTCACGCCGATTGACGCTTCCTCATCCGGAACAAATGTAGTCTAGGCAACTCCTGCGAAGGCCCTGCAGACCTGAAACCAGTTCTTGCTTCCCGGATCGCGTACATAATCACCACCGACGGGTCCGGAGCCCCAATCCAGCATGGAGCTGGACTGTCTTGGTGCGAAGTACTTTGTTGTGCTTGCCCAGTGACACTCGCGACCTCGAGCCCAGCACATGAAGCCGATGCTTTATTTCTCAGATGTTCTGCTTGATCCCCGCGGGTGGTGCCATTGCGTCAAGCGTAACTTTGCAAGTAGCGGAAACCAGTCACTATCCGAACCACGGCGATATTTACCCACGGAGCATGCCCTTCTCTTTCTTTTTCTTGAGGACAATCACGTCCTAGTCTCACTCCTCTGCATGCCTAGCTTCCTCCAAAACGAAGTCAGCCCACCCGCATCACTCCAACGACTGACATTCGTTACGGACCCGATGCGCCGAACATCGAATCGATCAGGAAGCGACAGGCTATAATTGTGTTCCAGCAATCGAGGAACAGCTCTCGTTGCCTGGTATATGCGCGGTAGATGGGTTCCAACCAATCAACACACGCCATGCCGTTGATGCGCGCTACTACGCGGACAGGTGCGGACACGCCCCTGCAAACATTGTCTGCCCAGCTTTTCGCAGAAGCGGGGCTTGCTCTGCGCGTGGGCAGTTGCGGAAGAGAGTAGTAGGGTTATCCAATATCGCTCAGAGACATATACCGAATCTGGGGGATAACAACAGCTTTGGTCTAGGAGACAACCTGCCAGCACGCCACCCCCGTTCCCAGGTTGGCTCCCGGGCGTCTGAGTCTCCACGATTGACTTCAGTGGCGATAAATTGCAAGTCGAACTGAGCTCCAAGCGCCCGTGAGACAAACGCCGCCCGTATCCTGCGATGACTAACCTGCTGCGCGGTACATAAATACTACAGAATCGCACCTACTCACCAAATAGCAAAACCGTCCCCCATGTCATCGTTCTGGACATCGCTCCGCGGCTTCGACCACGATCCCACTGCCCCGCTGCGGGAAGAGTTCGACCGCCTTGCGGAGCAGCGCGGCTGGAAGCTGAAGAGCGAAAATTACAAGCAAAACTGGGTGCGCTGCGCACTAGAGGAGTTCGGGTATCAGTTCGGGCGGGACGAGGACCGGCTGGCCGGATGGCAGGCCCTATGCGCAATAGTCGGCGTCACAGACGTCCCCGACACGATCGTCGGATGTCGGGCCGTGCGTATTCCCACTCACCGGCTATTTTGGGTGTTCACTCTCTCTTGCAGATCATGAAAAAGACCTGGGTGAACATCTACGACCTGTTGGACGCCCAGCGCACCGGGGGTCCGGTCGTCCAACACCGCACAAAACACGCGTTGCGGGTCTACTCCTTACAAAATGAGAAGATCTTCCCAAAGGAAACCGCCAAAGAGAACCGATTCCTTGCCGTCCTGCTGATAGACATGTTTGCACGAGCCCGGCCGTAGTGCGATGGAACATCAGGATCTGTAGTAAAACTCGTGTTGGGGCTATCTTCAATGTCGTTTCTGACAAGCCAGATCCCGTGACAAACTCTTCCACGTGTCTTTCACATGCCCCTCACATGGCCTGACGTGCAGGTTTGTTTATCAACAGTTGTACTTACAGGAATGGTGACCTAGGATATCATTCCGTCTGTCACGACAGACCACTAACAAAAGAAAATCCTTTAAATTAGTCTCATGATAGAATTCAGCCTTTTTGGCACCCTCTAAGCAGCTGTTGGGACTAGTGACCTGTGATGATCAACCCAACTTCGTCTTCCTCATCTAGGCGATATGTGGATGGTTATTTGAGCAGATGAGTAAATCATAGTTCCCAATCGATACAAAAGTGTCAACTCACAGGGAAAACGCATTCGTCCCATTGCTAAAAATCGGTTGCGGAGCTTTGCAGGTCGAAATCGAATCCGAATCCGAGTCCCGATGGTGTGTGGCTCGCTTTGCATATTCGAGCATCACAGTCTGAGGATTTTGCTTGTGGATCTTGGAATCGGTAGTGCGTCATCGACCGCTTCTGTCCAGTGGGCCCAATGCACGCGGGCATATCGGGTGCCTTCTTCGCTTCTGATGAATTTGACAGGGATCCGACAAGGCTAAACAAGTTCAGCGCGACTCAACCACGACATATGTATTTTGTGTCCATTTCAAATATACTTGTGCGAGAGCAGGCAAGCATGAGGATCGACCCAAGTCGTGGCACGCAGACAATATCCACTTGGAAACTCCCAAAAAACCTCAACTGCCTGACGTTATACTCTAGTATCGCTCGCTATCAGAGCCAAGTGAACAAATACTGAGCTATTTGACCGATTGGCGTGTGTTCGCTACCGCTCAAGTCGTCATTCCGGCTGCTAATTCCACTTCAAATCTAAACTCCACCAGTGATTAGCCCCGATGCAGGAGCCATGTCACGGCTGATTGGCTCATGTCAGTCATATATAAAGCCTCCATGCCGGGTGAACAAATGGCATCTACTCGACTTGCCTTCTCCGACAATGAGCGACCCAATGAAACTTCGAATCTCCCGCTACATCAATATCTCTGAAGCGCGCAGCAGCACTATTGCTGAGTACGATCGCGCGCGGGCTGCGTACTTTCTTTCGGACTCGGCAAGCCAAGCGGGCTCGGCTGTGAAGGAGGAGCTGATCAGTACATGCGTCGTAAGCTATCTTTCGCACAATCCCAGTACACTCCCTGTGCGGGCTGATGCTGCTCCAAAGGCTGCTATCGGCGTCGGCAGCCCTTCTATCACATGTGAGTGCTCTCGGTTAGATTCATATTCCCACCGAACCAAGGGCATCCACAGATAATCTGATCGTCGACACCGACACCATACGGACCTGGGTTGGAGCTTCGAGGGATTATGTGTCCACGAGCACCTCCAAGAATTCCGGTGCCAGCGTGGTGCGTCGGTCAGCTAGCCCAGTACCACTCATCCATTGATTGCATATCAGACCTTTTCACGGGGCCTTCTTTCGCTCTCTGGTGAGGATACCGAATTCGGCCCCCGATTGTTCCTCTCTCAAAGCATTGACGAAGGTACCGAGTGGACGGATCAAGTCACTCTTGCTCCGGAATTGGTCATTGCAGGCCAATCTATCGGCGTGGCATCGAGTTCCAGTGGGTTCGGCGACAGTGAGTCCCGCTCTTCCATTTGATTATGCAAGCCCTGATATCCCTGATTGCAGTTGATGGTGTTCTGGGGTTGGTCCTATGCGTGTGAACGCAGACCGATGCTGACAATCGTTTCCCCCTACCAAGCCTCGGACGAACCGCTCGGTATGAAATACTCGTCCCCCCGGACTACCCAAAGGACTGACCCGTCCACTGCCCACAGCAATGATGAGACTACCCCGACGGTGGTCGATGGTCTCTTCTCCCAGGGAGCAATCTCGAGCGAGGCTACCGGGTTCTCCCTCATGCCGCGCTCTGCCGATTCACACGGCGGCGAGGTCTCATTCGGCGACGCGGACACCACAGCCATTACGGGCGACGTGACTTACGTGTTCGTCTCTTCTGCCATTCCAGCGCTCGCCAGCTCAGACTGAGTGCACCGACCAACAGACCCATCACCTCGACCGCTCCCGCGTCAAGCTACTGGGGATTCGATGCCGCTGCAACATGTGCGCCCATTTCTCACGTGCAATGTTTCGATAACACTCAGTGGAATCTGCAGATGGCGGGAAAGAGCTGCTGAACAGCGTTGGCATCGTCGACATAGGCACCACTCTCATCCTCCTCGCGTCAGACTCGTTCCAGAAGTACCAGCGCGTGACTGGCGGTGTCCTCGACACCGAGACTGGCCTGCTCAAGCTCACATCCACACAATTCGAGGCGCTTGAGACCCTCGAGTTCAACATCGGTGGGACAACGTTCTCGCTGATGCCGGGAGCGCAGATCTGGCCGCGCGCTCTGAATGCTTCGGTCGGTGGATCCGAAGATGCCATCTACCTCGTTGTTGCTGATTTGGGTACGTGTCCTGTCGGTACTTGAGGTGTAGGAGAGATTGATGATGATGGTTCGCGTCTGCGTAGGCTCTCCGAGCGGTCAGGGGCTGGATTTCATCCTTGGCCAGGCGTTCATGGAGCGATTCTATACTGTTCTGAACAGCACAAACGAGCAGGTCGGGTTTGCGACCACTCCCTTTACTGAAGCCGAGACCAATTAAGCTGTTCGCGTTGTGCAATCAGTAGCGATTGGGGGCTGGAGTTTTCTTGTAAAGCAATTACGTCTTGGGCCACTCTTCAAATTTTATGTATTTCAAATAAATCCATAATGCGTTTGGATATGATGAAATGAGCCCTTGCCGTTGGTTCTGTGAAAGAGACGGGTTAGATGATGAGAGATGCGATTCCAATCATTGCATCTTGCGCTCAACATGCCACAACAGAGTCCCGTGACCGTGACATGAGACGGGCGGGCACGTTCTTCGACTCGTTCCTCCCCAGCTGCTTTCCCGCCCATTTCCACGATAGTCGTATCACGAGCCACGGCGGTCACTGCTATCGAGTCTCGTTCTGCTCCTGCTTTTTTCAAAGGAAGCGCATCCCACATCTTCGCCGTCGCCGTCTTCATACCATAGCGCGCGCTGACGTGTCTTTGCCTCAGGTGCTTCAAGCTACGACGCTGCAAATCCTTCAGGTGCGCTTCCACGGCGGCAGATGCGCTTTATTCACTGATACACGCACCGGGTCGCGCATTTAGTTTGAAGATACGCTCGCGGGTGCTCCTGCAGCCAAACGCGCCCAGCACACCACCGCTGGTGCCGACACACCTTCTCCCGGTAGAGACACTGCCTCTCCGAGCAAGGCAGACGACAAGAAGCCCAAGATGCAGGACAATAGATCTTTGATCGGTATGCCGACAGAATTTGCCATGCAGCCGAAGTGACTGATTGGTCGTACCCGCAAAGGCTCAAGAAGGAGTGCAAGTCCGACAGCGTCAAGTTTCAAGGTTTGTTAAAGACCCCGAAAATCGACGGGGTGTTGCAGTCGTCGAGTTTGAAGCGCTGTTCCATGGCTAGGGCCATGCTGTTCCAGCCGACCAAGGATCACAAGCCGAAGAGCAGGTCCACTTGATGTGCCTCTCGACGTTCCTAGCGACTGGCAGGCAGAAGCTGATCGATAGACGTCTAGACAAGCGCGGCACACGTCCGCGAGACTTCTTCAAGGAGAAGCCGCAATCCCTGAAGGGCAATATCGGGAGCCACAGCGGTGCACAACCGTCTTCCTCTGACTCTTCACTTTCCGCTCTACATCTTCAGCCTGACGGGAGAGCCCAGGTATCCCGCAGCGCACCGTCGGGACCTTCGGCGGCAGAGGCGGCCAGGGCAAGTCCGTCAAGCAGGGCAGCGGGGACGTCGAGATCGCCTCCGCCGAGGCCAACTGCTCGAAGACAGCCGTCAAGTGCTCGATCAGGCTCGAGGGTAGCAGGTTGGAGGGTACGGCTGCTATGATGACGACTGTTAGATTCAGTCTGTTACCACATTGGGAGCGAGCGCGCATTGTATCCGCATGTGTCTTCGCAGTGGAGCCGCCCTCTCTTCTCTCCTCGCGCATGTAAGGTCGACTACACTATCCTCTATATCCTGCACGCCTATATACATGTACATCGATCGATATCTGTGCCTCAGGCCCGAACTACTCGAAAACGACCTCAGTGCATTGTCTTGATATCGTTAGAACTTGTATCTTCTCGAATTGGTATTCTTTGCAATAGGACATACTTCACTCTTGCCATTCATCAATTAGATGTGGGCCCCGCTTCACCTCGTAAACCAATCCCTGAGTTTCCTGCAGAACTTTCAACTGATACATGCTCTGCTCGTTCAGCGTCATGCTCCCAGCTGTGACCCAAATCTTGATAACTCCCAGCTTTCGACATTTGGCGCCGTCCGATGTAGCCCGAGACTTGATCATACGCATCAACGAGCCCTGTCTGACGCTTCGTTCGTCGAAAACGAGCGTCAGATCCGTCACGTTCGGTCCCAGGCATTGCGTACTGTTTGCTCGGACGGTGAGCTGTGACACCATAGCTTCGGCCTCTTTATCTGAGCCACATTGCAGCCCGAGCGACACGATTTGGGGCGCGGCAGCGAGAATGGCAGAAACACTCCGTGTTGTAGCCCACGCAAGCCGCAGAGTGCGGAATTTGTGAGTCTGAGCCTGCGAGCGCTCGAGGAACTGGACCAGGGGTGTCGGACCTGTGTCGATCGTATATACCTCTTCGAGGAGGGGTGCATTGAGTACGTCAAAGAAGATGATTTCCCGCGTGAACATTCGCCGCAGAGCAGGCAGCTCCACGTCGATTTGGACCGTGGATAAGATCGCCTCCGCCTCCGTTTGGAAGTCCACCGAGGCCCATTCAAGACCTGGCGTCGACTGCAGCAGGAGCAGGTGTTGCGGGCGATGAATGGCAAGATGGAGGCGAGTGAGCTGTCCCCAGGGCAGGGCAATGGGATTGGGGTGCCGGATGCCAGCAATGTTGTCCAAGGACACGTCGCACAGTCGCGGAGCAAGCTCAAACGCATTGACCGTGTCTCGGTAGTCGACACCGTCGCCACTGTAGTCCGTCGCTGCCGACAGACTGAGACCAAGAAAACGCAATTGAGGCAGCCGCCCCCTCAGGACCGATAGCCTATGTACGAGGCTAGGCCTCATATCCATGCTCACTGCAATCCAGCGCTCCGACACATCCATCAGCATGTCCAGCACGGCCAGCGCCTGCTCCTGTCGTTCCCTCCCCCCACCATATGGCATCCAAAACCTGACCCGAAGTGGCTCGGCGCCGGACCGCTCGATAAGCGTCTTGATCTTCTCGGAGGAGCGGCCGTGCGCGATGACAGACCAAAGCCCCGGCAGGGCGAGTGCCAGAGCGCGCCAGTGCTGACACACGTGTCCAAGGTACCACGGCGGGTACACGAATTCTGCTAGTGGGGCTTCTTCCAACACAGCGAGTAGAATCTTTGACAAGATCTCGTTCGGGATGCGCTGCAAGACATCTCGCACGGACGAGTCATTGGCGAGGAGCTTGAGCGCAGGCTCTTGGCCCTGGGCGAGATCCAACATTTCGCTTGCGAGGACGCAATGAGTGGACGATTGGTTCGGGACTGCTCCTCCAGTGAGGTGCTACTGCGTAAAGCGTTGTCCGCTGCTGACCTAATAGCTGTGGAGAACATTTGACCGACGCTGTTCCGATCACCTATCCAACAGACCGATTCACGTGACAGGCTATGTGGATGGGGCGAATTGCTTTGATTTAGTCTACTACATACCTTCAATACATATGAAAGGATTGACCATTATAGTCCTCATTTGAAAAATAAACCCACACAGCTCGATTCATCTATTCACGTCCCTTCGACGAACCTGTTCTCTGCATGATTATCACCCTCACCCAGTCTGGTTTAAAAGTCCATTCGCTATGCCAGCACATGGAGTTGTTCAGTAATCCTTCTAGTCAGTCTTTTCTTTATTTTCAGCAATGATTGGCTGTGCTTGAAATGAGCTGCATAAGCTCACTCTTCACCCCACCGCTGAGTAGATTTGTCCAGCCTTCACCCACTCCCATTTCTTGGGCGTTGTGCTGCTTAGAATATGCTGGTAGATTTTTGTATCATGTTCCATTCAAGTCCTGCACCATACCTCGAAATCAACAGAGAGGGTCACTTGGGAGTAACAGCAGAGGCTCTTAGCATGGCCCTTCGTAGCTGCGACTGCGCCAACTTGCTCTGACTTGATAGAGATAGTACAGGAGCTACGCCACCGCGCAGAAGAAGGGATAGTATTTACATATTGCGCAATAGCTACTTGATGAGAACTGTGGCGTGAACGACTCCAGTACAAGATATTCGACCAAAACTATCCCCGTATCTAGATGTAAATTCACGAACGATCGCCTTCTTGGCTTCTTCGTGAAGGGCTTCCGGTATGTAATCGAGACGCCAGAAGTTTCCAAACGAACTAGCGCTGATCCAGGACAGCAAGGCGTCCACGTCGTCGAATGCCAAATGCATGCGCAAGAGGGTGATGGACGGATGAGCGAACCCTGCCCCAGCAAAGATCTCACGAAGTCGTTCCTCCGAGAACGACGTGGATAAGTAGGTCGGAGTGAACGCATTGAAAGGCGGCACGGAGAGCGCGTCAGCCTTCGGCGACGACAGGCTCGCTCCTGCGACTGGGGTGGTAATCCCAACCCGCCCTCCGACGCGCAAGCGTTTGTGCATGGCCTTGAGTACGACAACTGGGTCACTGAGCCAGTGGAGCACAGAACTCAACAAGAAGATGTCGACCTCGCATTCCACGCGGCTGTCAAGATCCTCGGCGCTGCAAACGTAAAATTCGACATTCGCACAGCCCTTCTCCTGCACGCGTTTTTTCGCGATCTCGATGCGCTTGTCCTCGGGATCGACGCCAATGACTTTGCACCCGAAGCGCTCGGCGACGTGGAGTGCGAGTTCGCCCGTGCCGCAGCCGACGTCCACCACCACCATCCCGCTTTGAATGTCTAGCTGTTCGAGCATCTTGAGGCCGAATTTGAACTGGGGCTCGTTCATCGCGGCGTACGCCTCTGCCAGCTCGGGAGTATCGTTATCAGTAGACGCGGTAGCCATGCGAAAGTGGGGAGCCTGGAGGAATGATCAGTTCAGATAAGCCAGGGACTCGGGAGTGTTGCGAGCCCACAGAGAAGATGGTCAATCTGGAAGGTAATGGGTACCTCTCGAGCACGCTCAATCTGGTATTTATATCTTCTGAAATGTCGGTGCGAACGCGAGGGGCGTGGAAGGCCGATGGACCGCTTGTCTTCTGTAACGATTCGTGGTCTAGAGCCGGCACTAACATGCCATGCGCGCAATAAGGCGCGATATTCCTCTATGTGCTTCCCGCATTTGCCCTGATACTCAACAAAGAATTTGAACATAGGAAGCTTGGGAATCGTGCGGTCACACGCGATTGGGTAGGGTTCCGCTAGGTCCCCGGTCACTGAGGCATACGTTGCTAAGGAAGTCAGTAAAACTTGGTCGAAATGACCGTTTTGCCCTCCGCAAAATAGAGTACGAGATGATCGAGAACCTGTCAGTCGCTTCGAAAATAGAGTGAATTCGGTTTCCGGTGAGAGATTTTCATAAGGTATGCCCCGGATGTGGATCTGAAATTTTCAGCCAGGTCGCGGACGGACATATACCCAAGTGACCGGGGACCTGTTCCGTTCATTACTCGAGCCGGATCACTCGGAGTAATTTACACAGCAGCTTCCTTGACGGGTTTTAACACATGTTGATCCTCCTTACGCATCGACGCTGAACTCAAAATATCTTTTCTGACCCGGGATGGGCAAAGAGATATAAAAGCAGCGCAGACATTAATCTCCGGGATACTGAACAAATATTTTGGGATTTAGCTCTTTGAATATGTCCGCATTGGGTCTGAAACCCTGTCCCCAAATGCACCATGTTGCTAACATGTAATCAACGTCTTGATAACACGGGATAAAACTGGTAATGTTGACACGTGATATAACTCATGTTAAAAATACATTAGCTATTGGCGGAACCGCAGAGTGCGGGCGGACTCTGACGAGGCAGCGCTGACGGAAATGCATGGGGCGAGGCTACAATGGAAGACAAGAACCCCGCCGGCTCGAGCACATGTTCTGCAACATCGCGGAGGCGGAACCGACCTGCGGGCGACCGACGCGCGGGCACTGGAAAGTGACCATCGAGTGGGGGGGGGGATTGGAACATCGTCTTGTGACAGAAATGTGACAGAAGGTTGTTGTACTCATCTCTCCTTTTCTCTTGTTGCCGTTACTCAGCTTGAACAAATGCCTCATGCGATATTCTGTGTCACATCTTATCGATGTGCCAACTCAGAGGGAAATGACCTGAGATGAGTGCAATGTCCAAAAGTCGAGCAGAAAGCTAGCCGACACTCCAGGGCGAAGTTACCTCGCGGCCACTGTTCATTATCATGCGTCTTACGTCCTCTCGTGTGCTTCGAACCCCGGATGCTGGCATTGCGCAGACATCTGTAACAAAAACCGGACCACCGATCGCGCGTCCCTACCTCAATAAATACTTGAGGAAGTCGGCGCTCCAACACGCGCTGCCTCTTCACACAAGAACACCTCGATACATCGCAGCTGTTTACCAGGATTTCTCATCCGTGCCGAGACATCTACCTCCAATGTCCACAGTCATCCGCACAGCAGATGACGCCGGTAATCCAATCTAACACCGTCCCTCGAGTATTCTGAGGCTGACGTGCATTCCTAGCAAGATTACGCGTCGCCTATCTGGGCTGTGGGCCGGGGACGAGTGCCTGTGTCATTTACTCGATGGCACATGCAAAAATCAAGCCTCAGATCAAGATTTGGGCAGCACCCAACCACCGTAAAGACTACAACATATTCAAGGCCGCCGGGCGTATCAAATCGGTCGGATTATACAATTCCGAGGTCACGCCGATATTCTGCGATGATCTCAACGACACAGTCATCGACGCAAAGTACATCATTATCACCATTCCGGCCGATGGCGTTTCTTCATTGATCAACACGTTCTCTCGCTTGGACTGGGACGACAAGATCGTCATTCTGATCGACTGCTTTTACCTGTATCCAATACTGCGGGACGTCTTCGCAGGCGCTCGTGTTCTCATGGCGAACTCCCTCCCCTTTGGGACGCGGATGGACGGTTCAGTGGTGAATATCTTCTTCAAAAAGGCAGTATTACAAATCGGCGGACCACCGATTCCAACCAGCACACAGCAGGAGGTCGCATCTTTGTTTCTTCCGCGCCTGGAATGGTGCATGGACGCCCTGCATTGCGCGCTCTCCGCGAAGAACGATGTTGTTCATCCCGGCCCAAGTCTCCTCATATCCGGTAACATTGGGCGGCTGGGACCTGATTTCAGGTTCTACAAAGACGCGATCGGGTCAGCGGCGGGTGTGAAACTCGTTCTCAAGCTCGATGAAGAGAAGCGGCGGGTTGTGGAGGCGCTCGGATATCCAGCTGAAGACTTCATCGACTATGCGAACCGCCTGTACGACACAGATTATCCGGACCTCGAAACCTTCGCCCGAGAATCCCGGACTCATAACATGCACCCATTTGCCCCCACATCTCTCCACCATCGCTTCATTGCCTCGGATATCCCGCAGGGCATAGTGCCTTTAATCAAAATTGCGAAAATTGCTGGCATTGACGTTCCAGCATTCACGTTGGTTGCGGTTCTCGCGGGTTATATCGCAGGCGTGGATTATTTTGCGACCGAGGCGACTGATGCAGCTCTGGGATTGACCCCAGGGGCATCGACGGTGAACGACCTTTTGCGCGCGTTTGACGCAACCCACCGAGTTTGAAGATGATTTTTGGAGGGAGCCTGTTCTCTCTACTGTTTTGTGCTATTTATTCTACGTAGAAATCGAATTCTCCTGACTTGCGACCGCGCTTTCACTGATCGATTGATAAAAGCAGGGTCAAGAGGTCAGTGAGATTTTTACAGCGGGGAATGAAGCGCCACAACGGAGAGCGCACTGCGAGCAGCGGTCAATGGTGTTGTCAACAAGAGTGGTCACAGGCCAAGCCCGATCAGCCAAATTCAAACTCCGACATACAGGCACGCCACTTACACAAGCCAGTCGGCGGTATGTGGCCGTTGAAGTCTGTGATCAATATACCACAACACAATATCTTGAGATCAAACGCGCCGCGAACGTTTCTTCCTTCCCTCCAGCTCTGCCACACAGTCCCACGATGACTACCGTGCCCTTCCCCGCCTCTTCTCATGTATCTGTCAAAGAAAACGCGTATCCTATCTCCCCCGTCGCGACACCCTCCATTGGCGCGTTGAGCAAAGCTACCACCAAGGGCCGGAAGAGGTCCATCACGCTCGTGGATGGCGGTAGGTCGCGTCTCACCTCCCTTCAACTCTCTCTGCATATCCCCGATCTAGCAGAGCTCGACTTGAGTGCAGCGCTACCGGTCACCCCCGAGGTCAGTTCCTCCCTCGAGTCCCAGTGCTGCAGAGTGCGCTGACGCGTCTTACGCGCAGTTGCTTCAAGCTATGAGGCTGCGCATCATTCAGGTGCGTTTTCACGCAGGCTGGTCACTTTCTCTGCTCATACGCGCGTCCCACACTTAGCTCGAAGACGAGCT